ATTATATAAGCGCTACCTATTACATCATATTTTTACCTATTATATGAAAGTGTCTATACTTTTTATAAAAGGATCGTTTTTTTTTAAAGTTATGTAATTTATGTTTCAATTTTTTTAATAGTGTTTCATGTTTTCCACCTACAATATTAATTTAATAATTTCATTTGCACAAAAAATTATTTGATTGTTTTGATATTTTATAAAATATTATTTAGTATTTAAATTTAACAATATTTGATTATTTTCAGAGGATATTTAGCTTATATTTTCATCGGATATGTTATTTATATTTAATCGATACAAATACAAAAGTGTCGATACTTTTATGTCAGGTGTCGATACTTTCGAAAGGATAATTACCTATTTCTTTGAAAGTGTCGATAATTTATTACACGTACTTACGAAAGTATCGATATTTTCAATATATTCGGTATCATTTTACCGGTTTTATCATTTTGATACCGGTTTTATCATATTTTTACCGTTATATCGTTGTGGATCGATATATTTTTTTAAAGTATCGACACATTATAGGCGCTAAAACTGCTTCTCTTTTAAATTCACAAAGTGTCGATCCTTATATAAAGTATCGACACTTTCAATATATCCGATAACGTTTTACCGGTTTTATCATTTTCTTACAGGTTTTATCATATTTTTACCTGGTATATCGTTTTGAATCGATACATTTTTTAAAAGTATCGACACTTTATAGGACTTAAAACTGCTTCTCTTTTAAATTCACGAAGTGTCGATCCTTATATTAAAGTACCGACACTTTAAATGTATCTAGTAGCGCTTTACCGGTTTTATTATTTCAATACTGGTTTTGTTATAGTTTTACCTGTTATATCATTTTGGATCGACATATTTTTAATTTGGATCGACACGAACCGACAAGTTAAGTTTGCCGGTTGCACAATTTTTTAATATTTCTTCATGACTTAGACCTACTACATTATTATTAGACAACATTTTCGATAGCGCTAAACCGAATTTATTAAATATCTTATAATGAATCCGATAACGTTATATATTAACCGTATATTAACCTGCATTTTCTGAGACATTCCGGGTTGAGTTGGATAAGCGGCGGTAGGTACTCATTTTAACGTGTGTTTTCCTAAAATGCGCGGCTTTGTTGGGTCTTTCTTACGCATTTGCTGGCGTCCTCCAATTGGGAAGAATCTAGAACTCAAAGATCGTATGTTCGTAAATGAAAGATTTTTACTGTGGTATATTTTTTAATCGAAGGAAAATTCATAAAAGCTATTTTTTTATAGAGAAAATAATTTCAATGACCAAAAATCTCAGATAATATACGATTTTGACCAATTTTTTTTGGATTTGCGAAAATGACTAACAAAATCGCAATGCGATCTCTAATTCGCATTGCGATCTCCACTATCGCAAATTCGCGTTGCATTTCGCATTGCGATAGTTGGAAATTGCGTTGCGATTTTCCATTTCGCGTTGCGATAGTTGAAAATCGCGTTGCGATTTTCCATTTCGCGTTGCGATAGTTGAAAATCGCGTTGCGATTTTCCATTTCGCGTTGCGATAGTTGAAAATCGCGTTGCTATAGTTGAAAATCGCGTTGCGATTTTCCATTTCGCGTTGTGATAGTTGAAAATCGCGTTGCGATTTTTCATTTCGCGTTGCGATAGTTGAAAATCGCGTTGCGATTTTTTATTTCGCGTTGCGATAGTCTACAATGTCGTTGCGATTTTCCAAATTCGTTGCGATAGTCTACAGTTGTCGTTGCGATTTTCCAAATTCGTTGCGATAGTTAAAAAAAAAATTTGTTTCTTAAGAATTTTCTCTAAAAAGATAGTATCCGCGCGGACGTGTCGAAGACACGTATTACCACGACCACGACCACGACCACGACCCGACCCGAGACGGACGGACGGCGGCGGCGGCGCGCGAGAGTCCCCCTTGTTCTCTATCACTCAACAAGAAAGTGGGAAAGCCAAGCCTTAAATACCATTCCCAATAGTGTTTCCAATACTATGTGTGATTTGAGCATTACCAACACTTGTTCCCAATACTATGTGGGATTGAGCCTTAAATAGTGATATTATTTTTGAATGTTTTGCTTAAAATTGTAATAATCGCGATTGATTGTAGATTGACTTTTAATTATGACATATTTAATCGTATAATACTAATGCAATTGGTTGCTGATTTAGTTGTTTTAAGGTGCATGATTATTAATTGTTTCCTGAATAATCACATTGTATTGGAAACAAGTGTTGGTAATGCTCAATCCCACATAGTATTGGAAACACTATTGAGAATGGTATTTAAGGCTTGGCTTTCCCACTTCCTTGTTGAGTGATAGAGAACAAGGGGGACTCTCGCGCGCCGCCGCCGCCGTCTCGTCTCGTCTCGTCTCGTCTCGTCTCGTCTCGTCTCGTCTCGTGGTCGTGGTCGTGGTAATACGTGTCTTCGACACGTCCGCGCGGATACTATCTTTTTAGAGAAAATTCTTAACTATCACAACGAATTTTCGCAACGAATTTGAAAAATCGCAACGACAACTGTAGACTATCGCAACGCGGTTTTCAATTATCGCAACGCGAATTTACGTTAGTGGAGATCGCATTGCAATTTTGTGTTAATCAAAATCGTATATTATCTGGGATTTTTGTTCATTGAGGTTATTTTCTCTTTTTTATATATATATATACCACGAAAGAGAATATGGCATTCCACCAATAAGAAACGATACAATAAATAATTAACAAAAAAATTTCCTCTCTTTAATCAAAGTTTTGCTCTCCTTGATTTTCTAAAACCCTGAAGTTCTCACCCCGTTTGTATGGTGTATGACCGATCCTCCCCATCCTTCGTCAACTCTAGTAGAGGATCACCGGGATTCCCACCATGATCCTGAACGGCTTTCGGCCTCGATGGAGGTTGACGATCCTCTCCCACCGGTGAACATAGGTTCGGTGGTTTCTGTTATCCCTGGAGATTGAATCTTGTAGTGACCTCGGAATTTCATTCTGTGATTCCCTTTGGCACCCTCACGGATGATACATCTAGGACTTTGACCATGATCAAATCCTATGCGGCTATGGTATCCAAGAACCCTAGGGTGGCGAGTGTTGGAACCCCGGTTGTGAACCTTGACGAGATAGTTTTGAAGGAAGAGAACGTATAGAATTGAATCGTATTTGTTATAAAATTCTCGGATAGGGTTCACGAGTCGATCGATCATAATATGAGGAGGTCGATTATCATTCTCCTTCTCGGGAGGTCTATTGGGTACAAGGTAATGTGGAATAAGATTAAAGCTCTCTCGCAGCCACAAGGAAGTTTTCAAATGGTTGACTTGGACAATGATTACTACCTTGTACGCCTGGAAAATGAGGATGATGTGAACGTTATATCGAATGGCCTGTGAGTTATTTTTGGTAGTTATTTGACTGCTCGGCTCTGGAGCCGTTCGTTCAACACCTTGAAAGATTATCCGTCTCAAATCATATCTTGGATTTGCCTCTCGGGATTCCCATACATGTATTATTCTAAAGCTCTTTTTGGCGTCTTGGCTTCGAAAATTGGTAAAGTGGTTAAGGTTGATTATAACACGAAAATAGGGGAGCGTGGTAAGTATGCACGTTATCAATTGTGGTTGATCCAAGTAAGCCTACTGCTATGTATTGAGGTCAATAGATTTCTTTAGTGTATTGAATATGAAGGTTTGACTAATATTTATTTTAAATGTGGGATTTACGGGCATCATTAGGAAGGGTGTGGGCGTAGCTCCGGTGCAGGACCCTTTGATTCCATAATTTCTTTTGGCCCATGGATGGCGGATGTTGACCGTAAACGTCGCCCTCGGAAGATTGTCGATAAGTCAGAAAGTGGTCATAGAATATTTCCAAATCCAGGTTTGATGTTTTAACGTCGAGGGGTTTGGAAGGAGAGAAAGAGAAGTCGCTCCTGCTGCCCAAGTTCAATCTGTGTCAACTGTGAAGGGTAAGGAGAAATTTCAGGAGCAGTCTATCCCTTGAACGAGTAGCACTTCCGTGGTTGTACCATTGAAAGGAATCTGTATCATGCAAAAGAATAGTCTGCCATCATCGAGTTTGGTACCTTTAACAGATATCACCAATCAGGAGCCAGTTCAAGTTCTTTCCAATACCGGGAAACATTTGTCCCATCGAATATTTAGGTTGTGAAATCGAGGCCTGGCAATCATGTGGCCATTAGTATTACTGATAATCAGTGAGTTAAAAAATCAAGTATATTATTTCGGAGCAGCATTGGAAAGCAAAATTCAAACAAGGGGAAGATCTCGAATAGAAAGGGACTTCAGATAAAAAAGCAGTTTGGTTTTAAGACCCCGGAAAGGCCTCTTCTCGCTGACTGATACAAACGGATGTTCGAAACTTAGACAGTGAGGGTACCGGAAGCAGAAGTCGAGATGAATAGCAGGCTTAGGATGAAATGTTTCAATCTGATTTGGAGAACCCCGATGCAATCTTGGGTGAGGTTTATGCGGATTTTGGAGTTAACGTCATTCCCCAACATTCCCCGACCCATGTTTAATTGTTTTTTTTCTAAAACTTTCAAGGGGCGGGGAGCCCCTCTTTTCAACGTGTTTTTAAGCATTTTACGATGACTGTTCGCCCTCAAATTCTAGTGTTCTTGGGAACTCATATAAGTGGTGCACGTGCTGATTCGATGATTAAGAAGCTTGGGTTTCCTAACTCTTTTCGTATTGAAGCTCAGGGTTTCAGTGGTGGTATTTGGGTTCTGTGGAAGCCTTCCGTTAAGCTAGAGGTTATTCGTGTTTCAGATCAGTTTATCCATGCTTGAGTTACCCATACAGACTTTCAACGACTATTTCTTATGAAAGTTTTCTATGGACATCCTTATATTACAGTTCAAGAGTTTTTATGGAATTTGTTGGGTGATTTGAACCCTGGCATGGATCATCTGTGGCTCATTTGTGGAGACTTCAACTGCATTATAAAGACGGAGGAAAAATGGGAGGTACACTAGGACGTTTTGAGATTAGCAGGAGTTTCTATAATTTTATTTTTAACAATGCTCTCCTCGATATGGATTATCATGGTTCTCCTTTTACCTGGCCTCGTGGTAATCTTAGTCATCGCCTTGATCAATGTCTTGTGAATTCTGCTTGGAATAATATGGCATTTTCCTTCGAGGTGTTTCATCTGGATAGGTTGGGGTCTGACCATTGTCATATTTTTTTATGAAGTTTTGAACCTCGAGTTTTTTCGTCTTTATCCCCATTCCGTTTTCAACCCTTTTGGAAAGAGAATCGGGAGATTCAGGAACTAATTCTGGATTGTTGAAACCATGAGCTTGACATTATGTCAAGCCTCGTTGCCCTTCAACCGAAGCTCCTTTATTGGAACTCTTCGAATCTTGGAGAAATTGGAAAAAGGAATCGTCAGTTGTTTGCTCGGTTACGTAGAATTGCAAGAGTCCTTGATGTTCGCCACTCTCCGTTCCTTTCAACTTTGGAATCTCAGTTGAAGGAGGAATTGAAATATGTGATTCACATTGAAGAGTATATCTGGTTTCAAAAATCCCACTGTGATTATACCTTATATGGTGATCGTAATACCGCCTTTTTCCATGCTAGGGTTAAAAGTCATCGAAAGCACAACTCTATTCAGGCCTTGAAAGATGGTTATGGTAATTGGTGTTTTGATCAGCATTCTCAATAATCAGACGGTAGCCTATTTCAGGAATCTTTTTTCGAGTGAGAGCTCCGGGGTTTATACGTAAAATATCCGAGGTAATTTCTTCTAGTACACTAATTCGGAAATGTGTTCTCTCACTTGTATGGTATCTGATGAAGAGATTCAGAAAGTAGTTTTGGAGATGCATCCGACTAAGGCACGGAGGGTGGACGATTTCCATGTTTTATTCTTCCAGCATAATTGGGAAACGGTAGGTCCTGATGTCTTCATGTTAGTTCGAGAAAGTTTCATCCGGGGTTAATTTCCAAGTGAGCTAAATCGCACTCTGATTGTCCTAATCCCGAAGACTCATTCTCTTGAAAGTTTTACTTATTTTTCGGCCTATAAGTTTGTGCACGATTCCTTTTAAAATTATCACGAAGATAATTGTCAATCGATTAAATTCGTTTCTCCCGAAATGGATCTCTGAAAGCCAAACGAGTTTTGTTCCCGGGAGGAGTATTTTAGATAATACAATAATTGCACAAGAGGTTATTCACTCAATGAAGAGAAAGCAGGGTCGTGTAGGCTGGATGGTGATCAAGATAGATCTTGAAAAAGCCTATGATCGACTTGACTGGGATTTTATTGATGACACTCTTGGAGAAATTAATTTTCCAAAAGCTCTGCGGCATTTACTAATGTATTGGGTATCTACTGCTTCGTCGCAGGTTCTCTGGAATTGCTCCATGACTAATGTTTTCAAACCGTCTCGTGGTATTTGGCAAGGAGATTCACTCTCACCTTATTTGTTTGTCCTTTGCATGGATCGCCTTGCTCATAGAATTCAACGTGCTATTAGGGAAGGTCACTAGAAGCCGCTTAAGCTAACTCGTAATGGTCTTCCCCTTTCACATATGTTCTTTACCGATGATCTGGTGTTGTTTGCTGAAGCCACTTTAGATCAACTTGATGTTATCCAGAGGGAGCTGTGTGATTTTTGTGAAAGCTCTAGTCAAAAAGTGAGTATTAACAAAACTAACATTTGTTTTTCGCGTAATGTGGGTGTATGTTTGCAGGATAACATTAGTGCGGGGTTCCAATTTACGTGAGTGGACGATATGGGAAAATATCTGGGTGTTCCTTTGCTCTATAATAGAGTAACTCAGAACACTTGTCAATACCTTGTTCAAAAAACATTTGTTTTTCGCGTAATGTGGGTGTATGTTTGCAGGATAACATTAGTGCGGGGTTCCAATTTACGTGAGTGGACGATATGGGAAAATATCTGGGTGTTCCTTTGCTCTATAATAGAGTAACTCAGAACACTTGTCAATACATTGTTCAAAAAATGCGTGATCATTTAGAGGGTTAGCAGGCAAATTCGGTCCTATCTGCCCTTCCGTCGTGTATAATTAAATCGTGCTGTATGTAGAAACAGACCTGTAATGAAATTGAGGCTATCATCTGTGGTTTTATATAGGGGGACTTGGGTGAGGATTGAAGAGTGCATCTCTTTCGGTGGTTAGAAGTATGTAAACCAAATGATTTTGGGGGATTAGGCGTCAAGTGAATCCATATTCAGAATGAAGCGTTTCTTATAAAGATTGGCTTTTGTTGATTTCTCAGTGTCATCAACAATGGGCTCGGGTTCTTCAGAGCAAGTATAAAGTCCAAGATTTGGTCCCTTCTACCGTCGTCCGACGTGGTTGTTCTATGCTTTGTCAGGGATCCAGGCAGTTTGGGACGAGGTTCGTGAGGGCTTAGTCTGGCATGTTGGTAACTGTGAGGTGATTGACTTCTGGCAAGACTGTTGGATGTCTGATACGGGTCCCCTTGCTGCGATCTGTTCCTCAAATAACAGGTTAGTGTATTTAGGTGTCAAGCTTAAAGATATAGTGCTCTCATCGGGTGATTGGAACTGAGATTTATTGAATAGTTTACTTCCACAGCAGGCTCTTCTCTCTATTGCAGCAATACCACCCCACTACGAATGGAGTAGTTGATTACTCGGGGTGGAGGTGGGATGTACAACATCGGTTCACCACTAACAGCGCGTATGTGCGGTGCTTGGGTTGGGTTGATAACGAAGGTGGCAAGCTTTGGAAGGTTGTGAATAAGTTTCGAGGTCTCCACTAAGTCCGTATTCTCCTTTAGCTTCTTTGTCAGGGACGTCTGCTATTAAATGAGGAGCGGGTTCGTGGTCATATGTCCGATGATCCTAGTTGCTCTATTTGCGGAGCTAGCATGGAGTCTTCCTCACACATTTTGCGTGACTGCATTATTGCTCGGAATACCTGGAGGGCGGTAGTTAAACCTAAACTTATTGATACATTTTAAAGCGTGGACATCCATAGTTGGGTGGAGGAAAACATTACGCAACCTGCTCATTTTTCGATTGTATCTCCACTAACACCTCCTGCAACAATGAACACTCTTAGCTCACCTTCCATGGCGGCTCTGTCTATTAGCCATGTGCTTGAAACCCATAAATATCTCCTCTTCAAACAGACGCAACTATTAAATATCTTCAGACAACGAATCGCTGGCAACGACATTGACGCACACTGTATAAATTTTCACGGAAGTGCAGAGCGCTGAAACACTGTTCGGCAGTTCAGTTGATTGCATTTCGAAGAAAGAAGAAATGGACCTTTCGAGACAACAAGGCCCATGTCTGATGCAAACATGGACTCGCATCCATGGGCTGGATAATATTAAACCATTTGTTTTCGGGAATATCAGAAACTTTATAACTTATTATAAGCCTAATATTTTGTGCTTTAATGGATTAAACCCATTACCATATTTTATTGTTTCATGCCCGTGGGTCAGGACAGTTACATTTTTGGTCTACTTGATTTTGAATAAAATATTATGAGTTTTATATATCATTCTATTCGACTTAAATTTAAAAATATTTTATTATATTTAAAATTTGATCCGGTTTTTAAGATAATATATATATATATATATATATATATATATATATATATTCTTTTTTATGTTGAAATAGAGAGTTAATTTAAAAAATTTAAATTAATATATATTATTACAATTATAGAGATAATTATATTATTATTTCAAATTAGGTCGACGCACCTTGAACTTGACTCAACCTTATCATCTAAAAAAACATGATCAGACCCATTTAAAAAAAAAAATAACTATATAGAGGCGAATTAGAATTTGTCAAGTCCGAGTCCATGTCAATCTTTAATTTTGATATTTGAACATAGTTATTTTTAGGGTAAATTTTATATTTAGTACCTAAACTGTCAGTTTTTAATTGTGTAAAATGATATGAGCCTTCGGATCAACCCATTCAAGCATATGCTTGAAAATCTTTCTGAAATTGAACTGCGACCATAAACAACTCCAATTAAATTAGATAGTTAAAATTTGAAGTATGCTAGACAATGACTGATCAAATTCCAGATTCCATTCAGCTAATAACCAAAATTGAATTCAAATGAGAAAAATTACAGAAGATATATTGAAAGAGGCAGCAAATGAAAGCCACTTTGTTTGTTGAGGGAAGCCATTAATGTTTGAGATAAAGATTTTCAGACTGTCATTTTCCCACTCCCATGCACCCTTTAAAGCTTAAACCTACCCTTTCTTGTCTCTCTCAACACACCAACCAAATTTCTCCTCCCTTCCGAATAAATGAATTTTAATGGACAACTTAATTACTCATGAACATGATCATGTTCTGCCTTCTAGAATAATGTCATGGGTGTTTTCAACCGCCAACCTTTTAATTTCATCAATTATATTTATACTAGATTTCAGTGATAAAGGAATTGTTGTTATTCCTTGAGGTCCCGAGTTTAAACACTAAAATGTCAAGAGTATGACAGTTCAAGTCAAATGATTGAGATTTATATTTAAATATGTTGTCTTGACTCTTGTGTTTACCCAAGATTAATTGAAAAAAAAAACAAATATTATAGCGTAATTGTTATTTATTTTAATATTAAGTGGTAATTCACATTTTAATCATTGGATTTGTTTACTTTTCTCATTTTATCATGTTGTATTATGGTTATGGAAATAACTATAATAGGTGGTACAGTAGATACAACTTTTAAATATTTCTCATCAAAACCCCCTCCACCAAATCTCTCCATGAAATTAAAACAGTTATTTATATTTTTTAGATTAAATTTTGAAAAAGTGTTAACTTTTAAACCTTGGAATTCAGTTTCCTAAGCTTCTCAGTTTCTGCTTGCGGTGAAGGTAAATGTCTTGTGCAGTCGTACTCCATTTTTCTTTGGCTCTTCGTATCTTTTTCTCTATCACTTTCGACTGCAACCAAAGCTAAAGTCCCAGCCATCATAGTGTTTGGAGATTCCTCCGTGGATTCGGGAAACAACAACGTGATTTCCACGCTTTTGAAGAGCAATTTTCGGCCTTATGGCCGTGATTTTTACGGCGGTCAACCAACGGGACGCTTCTGCAATGGCCGAATACCTCCCGATTTCATCTCCGATGCTTTTGGACTGAAGCCAGCCATCCCAGCTTACTTGGATCCGGCTTACAATACATCCGATTTCGCCACCGGTGTTTGCTTTGCTTCCGCCGGAACTGGTTACGACAATGCAACCTCCAAAGTGCTCGTAAGTTTTAAACCATTACATACATACATGCATACATTTCAATAAGAGATTAACGAAGTTCCATTTATTGATTTGCAGAATGTCATCCCATTATGGAAGGAACTAGAGTACTATAAAGAGTACCAGCGACAACTGAGAGCATACGTCGGTGAAAGAAGGCGAATGTAATTCTGAGCGAGGCGCTGTATCTGATGAGCTTAGGGACGAATGATTTCCTAGAAAATACTACACTTTTCCCACCAGATCCCAGTTTCTCGGTCCGGCAATACCAGGATTTCCTGCTGGAACTGTGCGACAACTTCATAAGGGAACTCCACGGTCTCGGCGTTCGAAAACTGTCGATCACCGGCCTTCCTCCGATGGGTTGTTTGCCGTTGGAGAGGGCCACCAATATCTTGGGCCAAAACGACTGCGTATCCGAAT